AACATCCTTGCTATGACAGAACCAAAAGAAAAACACAAAAGAAAAAAAAATTGAGGAATAATAGACACCAGAGCCAAACCAGAAATATGGGATTAACAAAGAAAAATCATAAATTATTTGCCAAAAAGGACAACAAATAAGTTATAAAAATTTGCCAAAAAGGGCAAAAAGGGCCAAAAACCACTTTGTTTTTTTTTGTGGGGAACAAAGAATCCTTAAAACAAAATAGTTATGTAAACAAATACAATAAACAATGATCAAACTATACTTCATCTAATTTAGATAACGACGTCATTATCTACGTCAGAGATCGAAGTTGACATAGTTGCCAAAGTATAAAAAAATCCTGACTCCATTTTAAATCAAATAGGTCACATAATTATTGCAAAAGTATTACCATCTCTTTACAACGATTATTTAAATTCTTACATGACATTTTTGAAATAAAACACACTAATTTTGTTCTAAAAAGAACAGATTTTATTAAATAGGTAAAAATATAAAACAAGAGGTGTTCACTTTAAAATTCAAAATAATAAAGTACAAAAAGTGTCAACACCGCAACTGTCAAATAAGTGTTACCAATGTATGCCAAAATTTTACCTTCGTTCGATTACAGTTACAGTGTGTTCCGAATAAATGTTCTTGATAAAAACTCTTTATAATGGATTTATACAAATTAAATTAAACATATTATTTTGTATTTCTTTAAGTTACCATTAATAGAAATTTTTAAATATTATTTCAACGCGTAAATAATAAAATATGCCTAGTGGCTGTAATGCCAGTGTACTCGGTAAAGTGATTCTAAAAAGAACACACCTAAAGCCTAAATATTTCGTGTTGGTATCATATGACGTCACAGGCTATGACGCTGATGATGTGCATCGTTATATAAATTAGATGAAGTGTATATATATAAGGCAAATAAAGCTATTTATCACGCTTACCTCATATGTCCGCTTAGCAAACGTGTAAGCAAATAATAATTCTTGGCTTAAAAGAAAAGAAGATTGTTAGAGAGAGAAATTAAAAACAATACAAAATTATTGTGTGCAAAGCCATACAAACAGCAATATTCATCACAAATGTATACCTCTGTATATCTTTATAGAAAAATTAATATAAATTTATCTTAATGACATAGAAAACATTTTTTAAAACCGATCTTAAACTTGAATGTTATTTATAAAAATTAAAATTGAAAATATATCATTTTTATAATTGACATAGATAACATTTTTTAAAACCGATCTTAAACTTGATTGTTATTTATAAAAATTAAAATTGAAAATATATCATTTTTATAATTGTATTTTAGTTCTTAATCTACGTTCAACAATTTATTGTTGCATATAAATAAAAAAAAACAATCAAAAAATATAAAAACATTACGGGATGTATTACTTTAAAAAGCATTAACAATGCACGACACTGTACATACAATATTAAAAAAACATAATAATGATTCTTCTTCTAGTTCCATGACCGTTATCGATCGTTGGATATCATGTTGGCTACCATATTCGCTATCGTGACTTTATTGACAGCAGCTCTAAATAACGATGTAGTTGATTTTCCATACCATTGCCTTAGATTTTTCAGCCATGATGTTCTTCTTTTACCAGGACCACGATTACCTTGGATCTTTCCCTGAATGATCAGATGTAAAAGATCATATTTTTCAGGGTGTCTCATAATATGACCGAACTATTCCAGCTTGCGTTTCTTTATTATATTGACCAGTTGTGTTGTTTGGTTCAGCTGTCTAAGGACCTCCTCATTTCTAAATCTGTCGACCCAGCTTATTTTCAGTAGTCGTCTGTATACCCACATCTCAAAGGCTGTCAAGCGTTTAAGCATAGCCTCAGTTAGGGTCCACGCTTCTACTCCATACAGCAGGACAGGAAAGATGTAGCAAGATATCATACGAACTCTAAGGTCAATGCTAAGATCGTGACTGCAAAGTACGTTTCTCATTTTTACAAAGGCAGCTCGGGCTTGTTCTATTCGGCTTTTAATTTCTGCGGTTGGATCCCAGCTCTCATTGATATTACTGCCGAGATACACGAGTTTCTCTACTCTGTCCAGTGTGGCATCTCCGACTTTTATACCGTCATCATAATAATGATAACAGGTGTTTTTCTTCTGAACAAATCACCATCATTCGAAATATTTAGTATACTTATTTTATATGCATATGCAGCATTCCAAAAAAATAGATAAACAGCGTATTGTTGTCGAGTTTAATTAAACCCCTTTGTACTAAATAAAATTTTACTTTTGATCTACCTTATACTCGTTGACTGCAACCAAAACTATACTGTCACTAACACAAAGATACTTTTGTTCTCCATAACATACTCAATGATTACTAAACAATAAACTACAATTACTAGCTAAAAAGTCAGATAAAGGATGTTCGCCCATCAACTGAACTTTTGCCTTCAAAATCTGGTTACTGAATCCTTTTAATTCTTACACCTCATCGCAATTTTGCTTGTCAAACATATCTCCCCACCGCTCTTTATAATATTCTCAAGACGACAACTTTGACTTCCAGTTAGATACAATCTTCGATCAACCGCTAATTACTCAAATTGTCACAATGATTTTAATGAAAAATTCCGATTTCATCAGAATATATGTTGAACAGCAAGGGTGATAGTACACATCCCTGTTGGACCTCACGTTTGATTTTGATATCATTGGATTCTCCTGCCTCTGTACGGATAGATTACCGTAGGTTACAGGTTAGTGAGGTAATGATGAATAAAATTAACAAAACATATCTTTCCGACGAAGCAATATTTACACTGTGTGGGTATGTAGATCGCCAAAATTTAAGGTATTGGAGTGAGGTAAATAAACTCCATCCATCCAATGGATACGTCAAAACCTTACTCAAATAGCACAAAAAATAAAGTATATTATAGAAGGAAATTCTTTTTTTTCTCCTTTCTTCTTGTATGTAGGCTTTAAAGCCTGTTTCTTCTTCAATATTAGTTAATTGCTGCTTTATAGATTCTTGTTTTTGTGTCTTGTCTTAGGCGTTTGTTCTTCCAGATTGTGTCATTAAGAGAACCAGCCGCTTTACTTGCTTTTAAGCTTTGTTGTCGTACTTCTTCTTCAACATCTCAGTAACTAGTTCTATCTATTCCCAGATATCTAAACCTTGCTTCCTGATTTATTATTTTCCCATTAATTTCGATTTTACATCGTAGTCGGTATTTAGATGTCATACATTTGGTTTTTTTCTGCTGATATCATATTGTATTTCTTGGCTGTTGTGTTGAAGATGTGTGTTAATATTTCAAGCTCGTCTTCTATCTCGGCGATTAATGCGACGTCGGCGTCGTCTGAATAACATAATATTTGGATGTCTTGGATTCTATAGCCCTGACCTTTACGTACTGCTTGTATTATTTCGTCAATTATTATATTAAAGAGAAGTAGGCTTAACGAGTCACCCTGTCTGACTCTGCTTTGTACTGGTATACACTGTATTTGTTTTCCATTTATTTTTGCCTGTATTCGATTACGGAAGTAGATGTTTTCGATGGTTTGTATATTTATTGATTGGTATGTTTCTTTTATACAGTAGGTGTAAGATGTTTTGACTTGGATGTGATCGAAAGCCTTTTTCAGGTCTATAAAACATAGATATGCTGATTTATTGTACTCATGGCCTTTTCTGTGATTTGTCTTAGTACAAATACGGCGTCTACGCAGGATCTTCCAGATCTGAATCCTTGTTGTTTATTTGATAAAGTTATTAGTTTATTGATTTTTTGATTAGGACTTTTGTGGTAAGGTTAAGTGCGGTGTTCAGTAGATTTATACTTCTATAATTGTTGGGGTCTTCTTTATCTCCTTTCTTCAACATTGGTATCATTATGTTGTTTCTCCATGCGTCTAGTATCTTGCAGTGCAATATTAGTTTTTGTATAAGTTTTGTCATATCTACGGTTATACTTTCACTTCGTATTTAGAAGCTCGTTGGTTATTCCGTCTGGTCCTGGTGACTTTCTATTTTTGAGTGAATTTATGGCTTTTTCTACTTCCTGAAAACTTATTTCTATTTCGTGTCTTAATTCAGGTATGCTATTGTGGTGATTATTATTTTTCTTTGCTTTAAACAGTTATTAGGTATCTTTCCCATTCGTTTGCTGGTATGTTCTTATATTCCTTCAATTCTGCCATTTTTTCCGTCATTTGTTTTCTTATGAATCTCCATATTTGTTTTGGTGTACCGTAGAAGTCGCTTTCCATCCTTTTTGAACTGTTCCCAGTGTTCAATTTTTGTTTTTGTTACCAACTGCTATGTTTCGTTTCGTATTCTTCTCTAGGTGTCTAGGATTCTGAGGTATTTGATGTTTTGTACTTCGTGTAGGCCTCCAGTTTCTCTTTATATCTATTTTATTTCTTTTCTGAACCATGGTGTATTATTGTAGTTTCTTTTGTTCAGTATGACTTTGTGTTTTCCTAGAGCTTCTGTTGCTGCTTCTTCAATGTCGTTTTTCATTTTTTTCCAACTCGCGTTTATATCTTCGATGTCATCTATTTGTTTCAGCTGTATCTTCTGTGTTAGCCTCCATTGGTACATTTCTCTTGTAGAGTAGTTAAAAGTGAATCTACATTGAATTTTTCCTCGGTGATTTTCTGTAGAAAATGTTTTGGTGTTATTTTCATTCTTATCTTTGCTAGTACTAGTTTGTGTTCACTCCCTGCGTCTGTTGAGTTTATAGTTCGGATATCTAGAATTTGTTTTGGGTGGATTTTTCTATTAGTGACTATAAAATCAATTATAGATTTCTGCCCCTGAAGTTTTCCAATGTATATTTATACTGGAGCTTTTGGTCGAAAAATGTATTATTGATTGTCAATTCGTTAAAGACACAGAGATTAGCAATGAGTTCTCCATTTGCGTTGACGTGGTTTTTATTAAATCTAGGGAAGATTAGAATAAATAAAAGAAAATTTAATAAGATATTTATAAAATGCTACTTAAAAATGAAATTGTACCTGCCCTGAAAAACAAATTTGGAGCCAATTTTAATGAGATATCATTTATTTACATCAGAGATTTCCCGAACGATGGATTGGTATATTAAATTGTATTGAATGGCCACCCGATTTGAAACCTAAAAAATATTTTTGTTGGGGTGGTTATACAGTAGAATTTATAAAACTAAAACAGCAAGTGTTGAAGAGCTAAGGCAAATAATTATCGATGAATCCATATTAATTTCTAGAGAAACACGGAGAAATGTAATAAATGCATTTCACCATCGTTTAGAATACTGTGAATTAATAACGGAGGACATTTTGTACACTTGTTTATGTAGACCTAAATTTAACAATCTAGAAAAGTCTTAATTATTATTTTCAAATCTTAGATGTGTACATGGGTTGAATCAAAAAAATTATTGGGACGATTAGGCATTTCTAGGTTTTATTTTATGACCACAGTAAAGGTTGCAATTTGTCAGATCGAAAATCGTTCTAGTTTGTAATCTGTGATGTGTTAAAGTAATATAACTTTACTTTTATAAGTAACACGACTTACATTTTCAGATATTGGTTCCTCTACTGTCAAATCCGCAAAACCACGTAGGATGGCCAGCTGTAATAGCTAAGGATGTCCACAAGCACGTTCATAGTTTAAAAAGCACGGTTTATCAAGTAAAAGGACAAGTTAATGGTCAAACAGTTCTACCAATGCCTGTTGGAGTCGATAGAGTATTTGAAGTTGAAAAACTTCTTATAGAAAGTAACGGCGAAATTTGCGACTTATATCTAAAAAGTGCTATAGAAGGAGTTGTAATTAAATGGTCTGCTCAAATCAATGATGTGTTGGCAAATGATTCTTCCGAAAAATGCCCTTCTGTCGTTAATCCTGTACCCACAGTAGGTAAGTTATCAGACCAACATATTTGTCATTTTATATTATACTTGTATTTCACTAAATGTTTTTTAGAATTACAATTTTGGAATAAACGACTAAAAAATCTCGAATATATCTATCAACAGCTTAGAGAACCTAAAGTAAAAAGTATGGCTGTAATACTTGAAAAAACAAACAGTGCTTACTTTAGCTGTTTTAAACTATTATTCAAGAATACCGTCATTGCTCTTTCTGAAGCTAAAGATATGAATCTTTATTTGACACCTCTAAAAAAGCACGTGCAGTCAATTGAAGAAACAGATTTTAGTGAAAACATTCCATTGCTGGCGCCAATGGTTCACGTTATTTGTCTAATTTGGTCCAACTGCAAGTCAATTGATCAGACAAAGTTGATAACGCTATTAAAACAAATCTGCAATTTGCTTATACAAGAGGTAAGTCAAACAAATAGGTCATAATAACCCCGTAGTCAGGTTTGAAATTACTTAAGTTGACGTTATCAAAACAAAATTTTTTAAAGAGGGTTAATCATTATCAAAAATGAAATCTAACTCCGTGAACTGTTGGGCAATTCCACAATTCCAGCCGCGTCGTTATTTAATTATTTTTTTAGGACTGAATTATTTATTTAGAAATTATTTCATCGTCATATCTATCTAGGTACTTTGTTATTCCATGAATTTTTTATCCCCCCAGGTTTAAATATGGTATTTATATGGGATTACTATGTCGGTCGCATGTGTGTCAAAATGATACGAATGATGCGACATAATTTGTAAGTGTTGTTTTACTTGCTCGCAAGAGAACGAAAATGAAGATGCCCTAACCAAGTGGAAGATTTTGAGGATGAACCGGACACAGATGCGAAAGATCAGCAAAAGGATGAAAGAGCTAGTGACTCTCATACTAAAGAGAGTTGGACAAAGCATGAACCAGATTTTACTCAACAATTTATTTTACTGTAGAAAAGATAAAACTATTACATGGATGAAAACACCGCGCGCGAAGAAGCAACACATTGAGCCACATAACCTGGTTACACGTCTCCCAGGAGTAATACATGAAGCACGACTAGTTAAGTTACATATAGAATAATGAAGTCAGTGCTACAAACAACAGTCAAGTTCACAAACCAGTACATTTATTTTGAAGTAAGGGATCGCTTTGACCGACAACGTGATGAAACAGACACGGATATGACAGAACTCAAGCAAGCAAGCAAGCAATTTGATTGAACCCAGCCTATGAGACATGTTCACCCAGGTAGTACGATCGGGTGTGACAATTCATTGGAGCAAGGTGTTTTAATTCGTGTTTAAAAACAGGAATCACCCCACCGTGCTCCAATGCTCTAGACCATCCCTTTCCCCCCTATAGCAATCTGATTCGCTATAGAGGCACAACAATCAGCCAAGTGCTCTTCATGTGGAGGTCCTGGGTAATTGAACCCCAACATGGTTTCCTAACCGTATGTGAAAACTCAGGACAGCGCATCTCCGCTTTATTCCTGTTTATCTTAATGTAGCTTATCCGCGAACTAAAATTGCTTACTTGGGCCTCAAGTCTCCGCTCTGAGTCCCGGCTCAGCTCGGCGACTTGGTGCTCAAGGGGTTGGGCCCTACGTGCCCGGGTTTTGGGGTTTTTGTTAGTTTTTTTGGTGGCCGAAGCCGGTTTTTGTTAGTGTTTTTTAATTTTTTTTGGTGGCCGAAGCCGTTTTTTTGTGTTTTTTATGATTTTTTTTGTCGGTCACCTGTGAAAAGAAAAGTCATAATTAGTACATAGTCTACACCATAATAAAGAAAATATTTAAATATTATACATTACCACAATGTAGACTGCATCCTAGTGTGAGCAACAGGGCCCACTGTGAATGAGGCGATTTGCGATATTCTGGGTGATTTGAGCTACGAACTGTCTTCTTTATGTGTGTGTGTTTTGATTAGATTTTCTTCTCACTCTGGGCTTTTTGTAATATTTTGTCCCTATTGGGGGGTTTTTTATTTTTCCCTCTGGTTTCGCGTTAGTCTAATATTTGTTGTTTTGGTCTTTTGTGCTTCCATCTGTGGAAAGCGTCATACCTCATTATCTCTCGTAGGATGTGACTAGGGTGGTTCTCTAGTTCTGCGAATTTTATCCTAGCTTTTTCTTTCATTGTATCAGTCACTCTGATTTGCTGTAACTCTCTGAACAGGAATCTTTCAGCTACGTATCTTGGTACGTTTACCGCTTCTCTTAGGCTTTTGTTGTGTTGTGCCTGTATTTTAATATTTTGTTAGAGTCTCAAGTAGGTGTAGGAGCATTGTGTGTGTGTGTACCTCT